TATATATTCAACGAGTGAATCATTATCACCAATACTTTTCATAGCAATCCATCAATGTGTCTCAACTTAATTATATTTTTCCACAACAACTGAGGCTAGATCTAAACACTAATTCCTTCATAAATATATTTATCATAAAATAATACAAATCTCCGTAGCACGGAAAATGGGAGTGTTTATCACACTTCCCGCTTCTCACACTTAATTTTGCATGCGTATGTGACCTACGTCACAGTTCACAGCTCACTAATGACACTCTTTAGTGTTAAAACGTTAGCCCACGCGTAATAACGGTGTCCTGATAAATGACAAGTTAAATTGCTAAGGATTTCTGCTAATACCTATTAACTTGCTTGATGTCGTCATTCTTGACTTTAGTATATTATTTTGATACCGTTCAGAATGTGCCATTCTACACAGAGAGTAACCCACCCCTATTCAGCGATGCGTTTGCGTCATTTCATTTTGGTTTGAATATTTTATAGAATAAATGCCGCTAATCGTTCATGGTTGCAAAAACAGAGTTTAAAAAACATTGCACACACGAAATGTTCTCAAAACGAGTTCCATAAGCATATTATAGTGTCGCGATAGGAAGAAGTACGGACTTGCTTTAGAAAGTGCTATTGTCCCAGTCTCCCAAAGTCCAACCCCCCGTCCAAGCCGAGGGAGATGGAAACAGGACAAAGTAGGGGAATGCTGGGTTTGGGCGATTTACGGTTTGGCTTTAAGCCACGGGGGTGCTACGCTAGACGTGAAGGCCAACCCGGGTCATCCTGAAACGTCGCTGGCCAACGGGGCTCTGGTGAAGTTACGACAGGCCTAGCAAGCCGGTAATGGAAAAAAAAGACAGCTAAAAATCAAAGAAAGGAAGAGAAGAAACAGACAGACTCTAAAGGAAAAGGAATAGAAAGGCCAAACGGACACGAGATAGAAGAACGAAAATAGGAACATAGAATGTATTCGGATGAGGCGACAAGAAACCACAAATCATTGATTTCATGGAAGCTAGAAAGATTGAGATCCAGGGAATTGCGGATGTCAGGAAAAAGAAGTCCAACAGCAAACAGGTGTACAAGAACTGCATCTTCCTTTGGAGTGGAACAAACGGAACGGAGGGAGCAAAACGTGGAGTGAGCGTTGTTGTTCACCCAGAAAGAGTAAAATACACAATAGTGTTTTTGTAAAGTAAGTCAGCAGAAACTCAAGGAAACTCAATATTCTTATCGACGGAACACAACTCCAACTAGTAGTAGAGGAATTTAAATATTTGGGATGCATCTTCACATAAGATTGGCGTATGGACAAAGAAATAGAAAAAAGAACTATGAAGGCAAATGTAGTGACCTACCAGCTAGAACCCCTGCTCAGTCACGAGAACATACCGACCGAAGTAAAAATCCCAGCTCATCAATAGCATCTTCATACCATTCTTAACACACCAGAGCCAAACGTGGTCTCTAAACAAGGAACAAGAAAGAAAAATCAATGCACCCCAAATGAGATGTCTCCGCAAAACCATCAACGTCACCAGAAGAGACCGCATAAGGAACGAGACCATACGCCTACAATCCGGAATACCACCAGTAGTTAATTTATTAGAACGTTAAAGAGTCAAATAGTTCGGACATCTAACCAGAATACTCCAGAAGCAACTAGCGGCTAGAGGTTATCACACTCGTGAATACTGCTTCAAATGAAGAGGAAGACCAAGAAAGACCAGGCAGGATGGGGTTAAAAAGAACCTGGTACAACAACAAATCTATCACAGACGCTACACACCTAGCACAGGATCGAAACCAGCTCCTCCCCCTCGACATCCTAAGAATACCAGAGGAAAGAAAAAGTAAAAAAAGTAAAGTATTGTACCAGCTCAAGGAATGTAAATAATTGACTGGGATTTTAAAAATTACATGTAGTATTTATGACGGAATTTTCTAGAATACAGTGTACAAATGTTTAAAAAAAGATTCATAAGGTAAGACTAATTTATACATGTATAAGTCATTGTGCTCGATAGTTACGGAGATATTTATATTTATTAACAATAAATTGCGCCACAAATTTTTGACCGCACTATAGATGTTCCCACTCTGCTAGGGTGACGTCATGTTGGTTGTGACGTCATACAGAAGGTGCAGCCAGGGTTGAGACGCCACACAGTACCGGGGAGGTGGCCAGGGGTGGGGCAGATGGTAGACGTAACAGCCACTACAGGCCGCTACATTACTGTGGTAGATCATTTCCTGGTGAGGGCAGACAATTTTAATACAGGGAGGGCGAACTAACACTTTGCAGTCACACAGCCAGCAGTTTAAAATACCTATCTGGTCACCCAGCCAGGAGAGTGACCAAAAACTAGGAAATGTTCAAGTTTTTGGAGTAACTGCAATGGATTTCTCAGGCCCGGCGTAGTGCGCCAGGTGACCAGAGCAAATAATTTTTTCAACGTCGCATTATTGCGCCAAGTGACCACAAAGTGACAAAACAAAGAAAAGGACAAACAAACAAGACAAAAAAAAACAGGAAGAGGTAAGTGCAGATCAGGGACACTTGAATCGACATAACGTCATGAAAAAAAATCATATTGCAGAGAACTGGGGGTGCAACCATGATCTCCAATGTCATTTTCAGAAGAAGAAGAAGAAGAAGAAGAAGAAGAAGAAGAAGAAGAAGAAGAAGAAGAAGAAGAAGAAGAAGAAGAAGAAGAAGAAGAAGAAGAAGAAGA